AAGAGATTCTCTTGTCAACTTAACCAGGACTACAATCAGAGCAACTAGTTAAAAGTTTAAACAACTGAAACTGTGAAAAACACATCTTCACAAGGACCTGAGTTCATCTTTCCACTGTGCAAAGCACCAGGATTATAAGTGAGAGAAAGAAAAAAAAAAAAAACAGTCAGAGCTAACTGTTGAAGAACAGCATAGACAGCTAAATTGCAGCCTACTCCCCAGCAACTCCCAGCAAAATCCCCTCTAACTTCCAGCCTCTGGCCTTCTCCTGGGCATGCATATTTTTTTACTGAATCTTTTTTTACTGACTTCACTGAATTACAGGGTCTGACAAGGAGAAGCTGCTTCTCTTTAGCTCTTAATGTCCACAAATCCTGACAGAAAGAATATTTCAGTACAAAGATTAATGTTTAAAAGGGAATTGTAGGAGACAGCCAAGGGCCTATCAAGGAAAGCAGTGACATTTTAAATGTAAAAGATACCATAAAGCACAGTCCAGTTCACCTTTAAAACACATGTTCACATTGCATTATACTACTTGACCTACAAGAACTTTAAAATAAAGTTTTGGGGACCTCAACTATCAAAAATTGTTGTTTTATTGGATAATAAGTCAATTCATAAAGCCTGATTTCAAATATATATCCAGAGAGAAGATCAACTTTCTTCAGTATGAGTATAATTGGAGGCATTTTACAAATCTTTACAAGAAGTGGCAACAATCATAGAGGCAACTGCTCAAGACAAGAATCTGAGGCTAGAAGTGAAGTTTTTATTGCAGCTGTGGAGCAAAATGTTCCTGGACTGACCTTCCAGTCATGGTGCCCACAGCCAGAACAGCTCCACTGGGATGGAAACCTGCAGACCTTCCTGGATCCTGGAAAAGACAATTCGATTTTCTTTAGTTTGATTAGCTCATTTATTAAATGTTCATTTATTTATTTATTTTTTGTTCCCCTCACCTCGATGGTCTTGCTCCAGAGGGGCTGGTGGCTGTGGGTGTCCCAGAGGTGAACCAGTCTGTCCTGTGAGCAGGTAACAAACTGCTCCATGGAGGGATGGATGTCCAGACCCCACAGCTCATCTGTGTGACCCTGCAAACACAGATCGGCTTTAAAACGCCCAGGTCTGTAACGCTGGGAGGATAGATTTACAGGGAAACAGTTTGAGGCGTTTAACCTGTACTATAGGGGTTAAGGTATCGGGGAAGGCCGCTCTGATGATGGCGTTCTTGGTGGTTCCAACGAAAAGTTCACCTGGTTTCCCTTCAGCCAAAGCCCTGACAGGGCCCAGGGATTCAGCCACCTGGACACAGAAAGCAGAGAACTTGAATGGATCCAAACTGAAATCAGTTAATTGAATCGTAAAAGTAGGAGACAGAATTTATTTACACCATGACAGGCCATATTAATATGTTACCTAAAAAGAAAGGAGTGAGGGGAAAAACTGCAAAAATGGATTGGAAAATAAGGATTGTTCTTAAAATAAGAGCTTATCTTTTAATTTCAGCAGGTAAATAACATGATCTGCAAATATTTTTGTCTCTATTATTATTGTATTTGTTTTACTAATTTTTTAAAATCTTTATAGGCTTTTAATTTTCTTCTATTTTATTATACAATTCATGTAAAGCACTTTGAATTGTCCGTGTACTGAATTGTGCTACGCAAATAAACTTTCCTTGCCTTAAAATAAGATAATTAGATATCATTCTGTTGAAATAGGATAGCAGAGATTTTTCTTTTTCTTATTTTAGATTTGAATCAACTTATTCCATTGGAAAATTCTCTGATCTGCTTAAATAAAAAATAAAATACACTTAATTCAAGTTAAAAAAAAATAATTCTTATATTTACATTTTTGCAGTGCAGCAGGAAGAAGGAGAGAGGGAAAATGGTTCACAAGTAAGGAAAATTAGACACAAGGGAGGAAAGAGGTAAGGGCACAGAAGGTACAAAATAAAAAAACAAAGAAACTAGAGAAGAAATGAAGATCATAGGAGAGAAAATACATTTTAGCCAAGGGATACATCATTTCCAGGCTTTCCAGAGTCTCTAAATCCAACGGGAAATATTGTCACCACCCTCTTCTCATCATTTTCTCCTTTATAAAGGACAGCTGCAGCCTTCCTACCTCCATCTCAGCCTGTTTCTTGTAGCTGTGTTCCCACAGCACCACCTTGCGGTCTTTCCCACCTCCAGACACCATGGTACCATCCTTCAGGACACAGACGGAGAAAATGCCCCCTTCATGCGCACCTGAAACCACCTGGCTGATGCGGTTACTGCCTGACAGAGCAGAGAGGACAGCAGACATGTTGGATGTTTCTGTATTTGTAGAGTGATCATCCATGAGCACTGAGCTAAAGGTTTCCAGGTGGGTGATTGGGAGGCTACCTTTGGCCCAGATGTAGATGTTACCACTGGAGTCTCCTGTGATGGCGTCTCCGTTTTCAGCAAAAGCCACACACAGCACATACTTTGGTTTCTCATGTTTCTACAGAGACAGATTCAGAGATTCACAGCTTTAATATTCATGCTTCTTAAAATTAGATGAATAAAGATTTAATCTTAAACACAAGCAGGAAAAGCACCAGGTTATACTGAAAATACAATTTTACAACCTTCACTTTACCTTATATTATAAACAACTTATGTGGCACATAAATACTGACACTTGGACTGCAGCTAATGATTATTTTGCTAATAGATTAAACTGACCATATTTTTGATTAATCAATTAATATTTGGATAAAAAAAAAAAAAACCTTAAAGAGGATTTTTTTTCCCAAATTAAACCAACTGAAACTAAAACGTATTTAACTTGAGTTGTGGATAGAGCATATTGACAGATGTAATTTAATTTTTTTAACCTTAAATACAAAATCTTTATATTATTTTTACAATCTTTTTATAATTACTTCTCTAAATGGGTTGCTCTGTCAGCTTAAAGGCCTGTTTTAAAGTCTTTATTCTCTAGTTAACAATTAATCGATTACTAAATTAGTTGAGGATTATTTCAACAATCGATTAATCACGATTAATTGTTTCAGCCCTAGTTGACACTTTATAAAAGTTTTTAATCATGATTTTTCTTCGAGTGTTTCATGAAAATTAAGCCTCAGTGTTTTTACAGTACAAAATAATTATTTTAAAGAAATCCTCCTTCAATCCCCTGGAGGTGGGAGCGAAAGATTAGGGTTATGGCAAAGAGGCGTTCCAGCTTCAGAGACTTATACGAAGATGAGACAAGATCAAAGCCAATAAGCGGTTTGCTTTCTATGATGCCAATAAAGATTCCTCCATCAATGAGTGAGGAGACTTAATCATATTGAACATATAATTTTATTAAATCAAATATAAAAAAACTGATAGTTTATGTTATCTGAAATGCTAGTTTTATTTCCTGTCAGAAAAAAACTAAATGTAAAATACAAAAACTTCTAGTTAGAATACCTTTGAGTTTAATTGTGGTTTCCTTAATTATAAACAAGTTCTGAACAGAAATTTTGTGAATAACAAAATGTTTCTTTCTAAAATACTGTTTTACTGTTGTTTAAAAAAAACAATAAAATTAAATTAAGATGTCTCAAATGTAATCATTTCTTTAGACCTCTGATCTTTGCTCAGAAGCTGTTCCAAACTTTTACTAGAGCAAAGTTATGTTACATCAGAAAAGCGTCATTTTACAGGGTTTAGCCTGAGGATCGAGTTCTTCACCTTACAGTGAACCTACTGTACCTCAAACAGTCCCTGTCGCTTGGTTAGCGTGGTTCCCTCCATGGTCCAGAAGTTGATGTGGGATTTTCCACAGGTGACGATCAGATTAGTGTCCATGGGATGAAACACGGCGCCCAGCACAGAGTCATTGGAGCACTGCAGGAGCAAAAGAAATGCCGTATTACTCTCACTTGCAGCCCATCTTTATTTAGGTTGGCAAACACTGAATTACGGTTGCTGGGCATATCAGGACTAATTTGGTACGGTAGCGTTTAAAAATGATACTATACGGCATTTGATTGGGAGCGTAATTTGCAGCTCTGCCAACAGCAACCTGCAGCAGCGCTGAGGGGACACTGCTGCAAATGACTGAGTTTTCAGATCCCTTTGGTAACTTTTTCTTTTCAAGCATATGGTGACTTTTCTTTGCATTGTTGGAGACCTCAGTGAAACACCTAAAAGCATTGATCAGTCTGCAGGTGGTTTTACCCAGAGAGCTGCTGTGAGCCCTGCTGCTCTTCTCTCCCTCCTTCCAACTGAAACCAGCAACTTTTTAATCTTTTTTTTCCACTAATCTAAATCTCTGCTTGAAGTTTTTTTATTTTTTTTCACCCCAGATACAATCAAAACTAGCAATATCATGACTTTAATGTCCTAATTAAAAATGTCTAAGCACGGCTCGATCCATGCACTTTTAATTTGGACAACATGCATTTCTTCTGTTTGGGTTTGGGCAAAGCATGACAAGTAATAACATTTTAGAAATAATGTTGCATCCCTCTATTTTCCTTGCCATTACTGATAATTGTTTGCCCCTCTGCCTGAATCTCATGTTTAAATATACAATTTATGTGAGGAGAGAATCATTTTACATTTTATTTAATTTAAAATTGTGTGCAATGGAAGATTTTCTTTGTTTTATTCATCATTCATGCAGTTATTTTATTTATTTTTATGACTTTTGTTTTAGAATAAAAACAAATGCAGACAACAGCAAACAGCAAATAAAAAAAGCTGTGAGCTGAAAAAAAAAAGAAGCCAAGGGCAGCGTTGCTGTATCCAAAGTAAAACTTCAACATGGAGATTTGACCAGTGACCAACGTACCATTAACATTATGAGGAATCACAATCCTTAAATCACAGTGTTTGTATTATTGTCCATGTTACTATCGAGGCGCCCTAACCGCCTTCATCCTTCCCCCATAGTAAATTATATAAAGACACACAGTCACATATGCATAAGAATATATTGCAAACACATTTTTCAAGACAAGGGCTGACAATGGTAGACGGAATACAGCTTGGCAACAATGAGGTAGGTGAAACAAGACTAAAAGTCTGTTAAGTTACATGTAATGAGTGATATTGAAGAAACTTTCTTCATTTCTCAATGTACTTCTCCATCTATGTTTTATTTATTAGTTTACTGATTGGTATGTTATTGCTTTGAGTTTTTTTTTTTTTTATTAAAATATAGTCTGTAATGTTTTGGTTAAGATGCTCAGTCAACCAGAGTTAAAAGTTAAAAACAATCCACTGTATTTCGTTTTCAAGTTTGAAGACGTTTTGCTTCCCATCCAGAAAGCTTTTGCGATTCAAAACATCAGGAATAGCGTTTAGTTAGAGGTTTTATACTGTAGCTCAACAAAGCCCTATTTTTGTTTTGAAAACATGCAAATAGCGGGAATGATTAACTCCCTTCCCGCTATCATCGCAGCCCCAGCCCCTGCACAGGAGAGCTGAGGACCTCGCCTATTCAGGCAGCCCAACAATCCCCTTTATCGACCCCCTTTCAGACACTTAGGCGGGTATGAGGCATTGCAGGCCAACAAAAGACGCCAAACCACCCCCATTCCAAAGGGGTGGACCTGTTCGGCCGTTCCAATTTGCATGTTTTCAAATCAAAAACAAGCCTTTGTTGAGCTATTGTATAAAACCTTGGATTCAACGCTATTCCTGAAATTTTGAATTGGAAAAAGCTTCCTGGGTGTGCTTTGGCGGCGCACTGGTTAGCGCACACGACCGATGTCTGGAGGCCTTAGTCCTCGACACGACCGACCGGGTTTGAATCCGGCAAATCCTTTGCCGCATGTCTCTGCCCCTCTCTCATGCCTCCTTTCCTGTCAGCCTACTGTCCAGAAAACCAGCCACTAGTGCCGTAAAAACTCAAAAAGTAAAAGCTTCCTGGATGGGAAGGGAAACGTCTTCAAACTTGGAAACAAAGCCAGTGGATTGCTTTTAACTTTTTTGGAGTATAGTCTGTAATATTTTGGTCTTCTTTTTTTTTAAAGTACAGATAAGTATCGAAATACATGCTGGTTGCGATACAGATACCAAAATGTTGATATGGTGATAAAATATTTCTCCATGAGGCACAGCTTACCTTGACCTCAGCAAGTTGTTTCTCCTTCTGCCAGTTCCAGACTGACAGGATGTGGTCGTTGGCATCATCCACAGCACAGAGGAAGGAACCACCATTCTGAATAAAGCAAACAGATGTTCCATAAAAACAAATAAACACGTCATTTCCCACTGCAGTGCAGGAGGAGATGCTGCTTACCGACTTCGAGAAAGAAACACAGGTAACTGCTCTGTCGAACACCCCCATCCCGATCACATGGAGCGTGTTGAGGCTCACAGAATCCCAGATGCGGATGTGGGGAGCGAGCAGCTGAACAGGTAGAAGACGGAAAATCCATAAAATAAACACCAACATGTGTAGAAGTACAGAATTTAATGATAAACTGCAAGAAATATTTTCCAATTCACTTAGATGAACAAAAAATAAATGCAACAACTTAAGAAAAGGTTTACAACTAATTGGCTGTTCGGATGGAAAACTCCTCATTCTGTTTTATTCAAGTTCTTGACTTTTTATCTGGTCTGTATTCGAATGGAACTCAAACTATTTCAGAAAAAGAACCAAATCAAGATGGACATCTTCTATATAAAACGTTGGCATAAAATCTTTGTATATTTATACAGTATTTATTTTGTCCTTTGATCAAAATCCAAAGAAGTTTAGAAAATATAGTTATAGTCTACAAGTTAAAGAACTGCGATTCTTTTGACAGTAAAAAATAAAACATAAATGATTCAAAAGTGTTTTAAATAAAATATAAGGAGCAGTCATTGTTCAGTTTATGTTGTCAAAACTCAAAAATGCAGATTTTCTGTCTTTAAGCAGTTTTAAATTAAATGTTTCCAGGGTTAGATTTGATTTATGTGCTGTTGTGTCAGAGTAAATACCATTAACACTCATTCTGGGGTTTAATTACCATCTAAAATAAGGATAATTAATGAACAGAATAGCTTCAAACTCAGACTGTATGAGGGACTTTCTATACCTGATATTCTTTGTTTAAAGCATGAGACAAATTTGTTAAAAAGGTTTTGAAAAATCTAGTTAATCCAAAAAAAAGGATAAACGGAACTAAAGTTTTAAACATACAGCTTCTAATCTCCTTTTTCTGGTTAGTGACGATGCAGAGCATTAGCTTAAAGTGTGGGATTCATTGTACCTTTCCATCCTTGGAGTTTCCAGCCACTTGACCTGTTGCTATGGTAACCATGTCAGGATGAACACTCAGGCTGAGAAGATCAAATGAGAGAAAAATGAGACACGTGGCCCGCCAAACATTTCTGTTTTATTTTAAACACATGAGCCAATAGTTCACAACCACCATCTAATACGTGTAAAACTGGTGCAGCTCCTGGGGAAAGATAACTTTTATAGACATTTTGAACACTTTTCAAAATAAACTGGTGGCACCTTATCGTCTGCAACCTTTAAATGACTGTGTGTAATTATTTCTATTATGTTGCAATGTTTGTGACTGAAGGCGAATCCATTTTTAGCAGGACATGGAGTAATTAAAACAGAGGCGGTGGGAGAAGAACCTAAACGCCTCCCTGAAGAGATTTTTCAGGGAATCTGACTGCAGGCAGAAAGTTCATACAGCAAAACAATTGTTTCAATTGAATAAACAGGGACTTTCACAGACTTTTCCAATAAAACTGAAAACTAAGATAGAAGAAAGAAACCTGTGTGCATCAACAGAGCAAACGGTTTAGAGAAATCCACATCAAACCATGAAGAACCACCTGACATGTGCTGTGGAAACCCTTACAAAGTTACAATCTCATAGCAAAGCGTCTGTTTGTTCAACTATTTTTATTAAGTTTGAATAAATTTAACATTTCTTTAGAAAAAAAACGTAACTTTAAAGGCAAATAATAAATAAAAATAATCACCAAATTAATACAAAAACATAAAATGAGTGAATTTAATCAAAGTTCAATAATATCTGATACTAAAGCAGAAGGTCAGTAGTTTTCCAGAGAAAATTCTGATGCAGTCTAGGAGGTACAGGAAATCCTGAAGCCTTGTGTGGTGAAAGAAAGATGTTTTCTTGAAAGCTCTAATTGATAAAGCTGGGCCATCATGGAATTAATAATTGAACTCTAAAATGTTAAAGGCAGCGTGAGAAGTTAGATAATAAGATCCATCATTGTGGTTCCAGTGAAAACTCTAACAGGCCTTTAGATAGCAGAAGATAAAAAGCAAAGTCCAAAGAAGCAAAGCCCAGCTGAAGCCTGTACGCTGCTGGTTGTTAGAAAATGAATGGAGAAAGTACAACTGGTGCTTTGTCACAACCGACTACTCCTTTTGGCCCATTTTTTTTTATCACTTAGAGTTTGCTTAAATATTAATCTTGTATAAAATAAAAAAAACAGCAACAAAAGCGGCAACATGGCAGATGTTTGGAGGTCAGGGTCGACCAATCAGCTCTGCTAAGCTCATAACCCAATCTTTAGATCAACTGCAGGTATCCTCAGACCAGGACCTTCTGGAAGTTTAAAAGGAAAAGGTGTGATATTTTTTCTAAACGTCCAGAGGGCTAATCTCTGGTCAAAGTTTGCTTTATAGAAGAGCCTAAAGAGATTCCTGTATCCCCCCCCTTCCTGAAAGTTTTTGGCTTTACTTCCAGACTAGAAGCTTCTGCATCTGACAATAAGTTTAAAGAAGACTGCTCCAAAGACCCTCTCATGACATTTAGTTGTGTTTCTTCACCATTTCACGTCGTCGTTGTGTCCCAGGTAATGTCTTTGCTGCTGCTCCTCTGTGTTGTACAGCACCACCACTGAGGCGTTGAAGTAGACAATCTCCCCGGTGGGCAGCAGGTAGAGGTTAGAGCGGCAGTCGCGGCCGCGGTAGCCGTATCTGACGCACAGCTGGGTTAGGGAAGATGAAGCTGCTAAGAATGTACAAGATCATGAACTTTTCTGTTAAAGCTGGTTTACGGTTTATGTTTAACCCTAAATAAAAAAATTCATAGCAAGCGTTATTTAAGGGCTAGAATAGAATAATCAGTATACATTTCCACAAAACTTAAAAAATAGAAAACAATTGTTTTTTTTACTCTCTTTTGACCCTAAATGAAGAAACAGAGCCCTAATTATTTCTCTCCCCCCCCTTATTTCAAGGATACACCCACTGAAGTTTCAGCTTCTTGTCCGGGAGTGCCACCTTCTGGTCCAGGCTGTAGCCCTCCTTCTGCTGGTCAGGGATGTGCATGGTGACAGGACGACCGCGGAGGAACATCCTCACATAGCCGTCCTCTGGGGGAGAAAATAAAAAGAGAAACAACCCGTCTGGATCAGTGGTTCTACGCAGCGAAAAGCAGAGAAGGTCAAGCCTAAGAAAAGCAGAGTAGCATTCGGAAAAATGACAGAAGCTATAAACATCCAGACCAGATAAAAAATAAATAAATCTATGTGGGGTAAGAAAAACATTCAATTCATCATCTTTGAAAGTCATAACGTAAATATAGTTGTGATGATCTGTAAATAATATCTCATTCAGATATATTTCCACCTTATCGGGTCTTTTAATTCAAATCCTGTCATGTAGCAGCCATGGATGTTTATCACATTTTTTGTTATATATTTATTACACATCTTTCCCACCGCCATCTTCTATATCAGCTATAAAAATAACCAAAAATAAAAAATTTGAATTCCATCTTATAACCCCATCCTGCTTTAAACCTGTTACTGCTGGGCTTTATATGGAGGTTTTACATTTAACAAGTTATCATTTTCTTGCCTCTTCCTGTTTATCCAACACATTGTCTTGGTCTTTTATGTAAAATACATTGCAGTTTTAGGTTGTGATGTAAAAAAAGGAAAGTTTAATCTTTTGCATGGCTTTCTAAACACAGAGCAGACAATAACAAAGTGATATCTATAAATCAAAAAATGTTTTTTTACCTGCATTGTAGGTGCATTCTTTGGATTTGCTGAGTGAGAGAAAAAAAGAATAATCAACAATCTGTATACTGTACATTGATCAGCAACTTTAACCATTTTTTTATGATGAAAGATAGAAAAGATGCAGCCAGGGAGTTTATTAAACCTACAGTACATACAGTAGATGCAGTCAAAAGTGTTTTATAATTCCCTAACAATGAGCTCCATTATAATTCCTCCTCCAAATCATTTTATCTGCAGGCTATAACCCCCTTTACTCTAAGTGGGCAGCAAAAGGAAACATCAAAGTCAGCAGAAAAACAATGTGGAGCACAGCTTTCAGCTGCAGATTGGAAACCAGGAAGCAACAATAAGCCGGTCTTTAGACCCACAAAAGAAAACTCGGGCCGACAAATCTTACATGATGAGAATATCGGTGGCATCTGATAACTGCTCAGGAGAGATATTTTGATTATAGAAACCACACAATAGATTGGTCAGGCTTTTTTATAGTATTAAACAGCATCACTTCTCCTCCCCCAGCAGGTTTCTAGCTGGGGGAAATATTTGGTTCTACAGATCCACCGATCTAATAGCTGAATCAGATATCGGCTCCGATGTTGACTAATTAGCTGAAACGGATATCGGGGATTTGATATTGAAGATCAAATTCAGTACACTTTACATGAAGCTCATTTGTCTCTTTTTCTTGCTTATTTCCTAATAAACAACATGAAGTATATTTATATCTGCGTTAATTTACCTTTTTTAACAATGTTTAAAACAAGCCTAGTCTTCACTCACATAGCAACATATAGGGTTCATTCTAGGGTTGCAACTAACGACTATTTTGTAAATGTTACAAAATAATCTGTAAAGTATTTTTCGATTAATAATGGGATAGCCAGGGATTACTTAAAGAACATTTTTTAGAAAATGAAACCACGTGAAACTAACACTTTTCCACTTAAGGAGTTCTGGTTTTAAGTAGGGCTGAAACAATTAATTGGGTTAATTGGGTTGCATTTAAGATAAAAAAAAAACAAGAAAATCTATTTGTCTATCAATATTCTCTATTCATTCTCTACTCCTCAAGTGGAAAAGTTTAAGTTTCACCTGGTTTAGTTTTGTTTGTTCATTTAAAAAAATGTTAAAGATCTTTAGCTATTCGATTCATAGATAAAATTATAATTGACAGATTAATCATTTTGCAAAATAATTGTTAGTTATAGCCCTAGATATGACATATTCAGACATATTTTTTTAAAAATCTTAAATGCTAAATGTTTATGTATATTGTTTTACAATTTTGTTATAATTACTGCACTAAGTGGTCAACTAAAGGCATGTTTTAGAGTCTCTATATTCCAGTTAATGTTTAATCAATTACTAAAGTAGTTGATGATTATATCAATAATCGATTAATCAAAATTAATCCAAATGTTTCCACTGTAGTTAACTTGTTAAAAAGTCAGACCGATTGAATCGGTATCAGATATCAGCCAATACACTCAGCCCAAGTATTGTATCGGAAAAAAACTTGATCGGTGGATTTCTGTTTTTTTTTCTAGAATTTTCCCTCACAAATAAGGTGGAAATTTTGTCCTTTTTTAAAATATTACAAAAAAAAAATAGATTACATTAAGACTAAATTTATTTACCACGATGCAACTTAAAGCACTACTTTCAGCAGCCAGGCCACAGGCAGCAAGTTAACTGACCACCTAACTAAATACATTTTGATGATCTTACTCTTAACATCACTACAATACAAAAAAGGGAGCTTCAAGCAGAGATGAGAATGGGTTTAAGCTCAAGTATTTTCAGTGATGCATGTGTTTTACATTCTTTCTGCAGAGTCTGATTTTCTTCGACTAGAGATAATATGTAGGGTTTTTTTAAGGGCATGTAATGAAAAGATCTTCATTACTGGGACTATTTTTATGCAAATAGCTTGAAGCACTTTAAGGGGCCATTGCACTTTATTAAAAAACAGCTTTGCTAGCACTAGGACATGTTATTTAGCACTGCACATTAAGCATAGATTTGCACATAAAGAACAATTTGCATACAAGGTTTTTAAAATATTTATTGTGTATTTTAATATTTACCATGTAGCCTTTTGTTCTGAGAGAGTCCCTGGCAAATATAGGGGTATTTGTGCACATAGTTTTTGGGATTTCTATGGGTTTCCGCTGTAAGTTTATATCATAAAAAAATAAAAAAGTTAACTGTAAATGTGTGTATATATTTGATTTAAATGTGTGTTTTAAAATCGAAGTGATAAATTGTTTCTTTTTCATGTAAATGGTTCAGTCCTTCATCAGCTGTGCCTATTTAAGGCAGAGATTGTGTGTTTGATAGGGCCGAATACTGTGAAGCTTAATAACCCTGCTTATACTTCAACTTTGCTTTGCTGGACAATTTCATTTTCTCACTGGAAATCCAGCCGACAGGTCGCCTGGTTACATGGCAATAAACATTTTTTAAGTTAAGAATAAAGTACAAAAACCCCACTGTACACTTTATTAAAAAAGAAGAGAAGAAAGGATTGCACACAGTGTGGGCCAAATGTGGAGGTCAGCCTGTCAGATTAAATGTTAAACAGAAAAAGTTCTTCACATTATCTGGGTTGAAAAATGCGAAATAACAGCTATTCAGCTTCTGACAAATCCAATGATCAAACCCGTCCATCAGGACTCTGTGCTCTGCTCCTCCTGAATCAGCTGCCATTCAAACAATTTGCACCTTTTCATTGTTGCTGACCAGTAAACCCATCCTGTCAGACCCCCATCAGAAAATCAGCTGACAGGCTAAACATTACTGCAGTTACAGAAGATTTGATGACAACTATCTGAATCGGGTTCAAACAGGGTGAGAAAAGGGTACAAATAAACAGAACTGTAAAGTAGAGAATTAGTTGTTTGCAACAGTCTAAAAAAACAGCCTCAAAAGGCTTCCCTGAAAACACGAGATGAGCTAAATGATGAGTCATAAAAGGCGATCTAAGCCTGTATGCGTTGCAGTGAGACAAAGCATCTTTAGAAGATTAAAGAACAGGCTGCCGTCTGATCTGTCTCTGGTCAGGTGGAGGCTAAGAGGCCGGACGTCGGCTCTTTCAACTAACCACATAAAGGCTCAGTTCTTCTCTGGACCTCTGCGTGTTGCTCTGGCTGGGAGATGAGGCGTGGCAGGACTGCAGCCAATCAAAGACTAAGGCTGCCATAGGAACAGTAATTAGAGCAGAGCATGCTGGGTGACTGGCAACCAAACAGGGCAAATAACTCCACATCTAAAAACTTCTCATAGTGTGTAACAGTCTCCTGGTTCCCAGAGGGAAAAAATGCACAAACAAAGTGACCATTAGCATGCAGAACATTTTCTGCCTGCCTGCACTCTGAAAACAAAAAATGGATGGACAAGCTGCAAAAAACATGAGAATTTAACATTTATTCTGCTTGCATTTCTGCAGAAATTAAAAAAACAAAAAAAAACAAAGCAAAAATAACCTCTAGCATGTGTGCATAAAATTCAAACACAGAAAGATGGAAACCACCCAATAATGAAATAGGCTGTGTACTGAAATACCAGTTCTTATGTGAAACTACAAGACAAACATCAGAGACAACCTAAAACAAACTGGATTAAAGTACTGGAAGTTTTCTTTCTGCTGATGGATATATGGAATGCAGTTTTATCATTTAGGATGACCATAATATAATATGTCAAAATATAAAATACAGCTCTCCGGGTTCAAAGCCTAAACTAAAGACTGACAGGGAACAGGAGAAAACCCTACTGGGATATGGGAAGGATTTTTTTTTTTTTAAAGCAAAAACTAACTTATAAATATCTAAATAAACTAGTAATTTAATAGTTTCAAAGAAAACGTCAACCTAATAAAAAAAGACAATTTGATGGATCTCAGGTTGTATGAATCTCTAATTCTATCAAGTGTTACTGGTACTCTAAAACCAAAAGTCGCATATAAAATAAATACATTATAAATATTATACTAAACATAGTACATGAGCAGGTAGTCCTATTGTCTTGCAGCAAGAAGGAGGTTAAAATCCCAGCCTGGGAGTTTGTCTGCATGGATTTAACATGCTTCTCTTATACATGCGTGGTTTGTCTTGGTCAGTCTCCTGGTTTCCTCCCAAAGTCCAAAAGCATGAATGAAGATTTATTAGCGTTAACAAATATCCCTTATGTATTTAATGGCCATGATTCTTTCTCCGGTGTGTTACCGTGTTGCCCTGTGATGGGCGCACCCAGCCTTACAAGTCTGCCTGACTTTTGCAAGTTTCCCTTCTCCCTGAGCAAGGATGCAAAAGTAGTTTTGCCATGTTTTTTTTGTGAAGAGAAAATAATGTCGACTCTAGTGAGTAACTCCAATACTGATTAATCAAAAATGTCTAAACCAGACTCAGATTCATTGCTAAAGAATTGGTCATGTTCTTTTTAATAATATAATTTTTTATACATTATTTCAATTATCCCTGGATGATTAAATGTTAAAATAGATTGCCATATGAACTGCTGTATTCCTGCTGTAAAGCTGTCTGTTGATTTGGTTGAGTGTTCAGCCCTGCAGCAAAAAGCGATGAGGTAGCGGCACCAGGAGTAGAAAAACTAGTTAAGATTATTTTATTTTAATAAATCTGCCAATATTTAAAATCTAAAACAAGAACCGACTCGTTTAACCTCAAACATTTCTGCTTCAGCTCTTCTGAGTTCAGGTGTTTATTGTTTGAAACCCTTCAGAGATGAGACCCGATCCCGACCGCAGTAAGAATAATTTATGTGACCTTTTGTCATTTGGGCTTTTTTGAGGCCTCTCTTATTGCATGCAGCAGGAGTTTCATCACATTTAGTCACATTGGCAGTTTAACTTTTTCCCTATACACCAGGTCATGATTTTTTTTAAAGAAATCTAAAAAGATCTAAAAGAAAACAAAGCATTGAGATGATAGAAGAAAGCCCCACATTCAAATGTGAAAGTAGGAAATAGATTCTTCTCTCTCACTAATGGTTTGGGACCTCCTTTAAATGAGGGCGAGAGGGAGCGGTCAAGTACGCATCCATCTACTGATCCATTAGGACTTAAGTGCTGCAGTGGGCAACTTTATGAGTACATTCTCTGCACATTTTCACTAAGATGATGCAAAAGATTAGAACACATTTTACAGGAACTATTACCACTGAACAGATAGATGAATCACATCATTTAGATATAATCAAACACTGGAAGATGAATCTTGTGCTTTAAAATGAACCAACTTAAACTATGTATAAAATTAACTGTTATTAACTTAGGGGAAATTAGTGTTTAACCAGATCCTGGCTGTGCAAAAGGCTCCAATCAGTGTTTACTGCCCGTTCAGCAGGAAGTCTAATCAATGTTATCAGCTAGGGATGAACAGCAGAGATAATTATAACCATGGGTCCCAGTGGCTCCGGGCCTGTAGGAACCTGCTGCAACAAAACCCCTGCAGCTGCATTTCGACTCTCGAACCTTCCAGTTGATCCTCAGAGTGAAATCATCAAACTGATGAATCCCAGTAAATCAGCAGCAGGTGATCATAAGGAGGTCCTCAGGTGAACCTGGATGAGTGCTAAGGCTCTGTTCATCCTCAGAACAAAGAGTAGGCTGCATCCCTTCTGCAGGTTTAACATGATAACCAGTTAAGTGACAGATCCGCCGAGCTCGGCACGCCCAGCCTTCTGTCACATCTACCTTCCTGATCCATTTGTGCTTTTTATAACTTGAGACATCCCACAGGTCTGTTTGCTTAAAGGAAGTAAATAAGCCCCACCAACTAATGAAACACAGCTGACAGATGCATCTATATTTGATAAACACCAAACAGCTTCAATGACAGCTCAACTAACAACCTTAAAGTATAAAACCACCCTGTCAGAATGGCATAATTCATCTCCAGCCCACCAACATAGACGGCTTGTCTTTAATTCATGTCATTGTGCTGCTGCTGCTGCCCCTCCCCACAGCTCTGTAGAGGCAGAAACTAACCACATCCAGCTGTTCGCGTGACAACAGTTTCATAAAACACAAAAACAGAAAAAAAAACTTCCTCAAGCTGAGCCTCAACTTCTGATCCTGCAGAGCTAAAGCTGAATGTTATCAGGGATATTAAAGCCTTAATGGGTTTCAGCAGCCATAGTGACTGAGCAATCCATACTTCATTCAAATTGGAGTCAAAACCCACCTGAGGCTACCAAACTGCAAGGAGAAACAGCAATAAGTGCTCTCTGCTCACACTTTACAGGTATAAACATTATGCTGTGAAGCAGGTATTTACCTGGTCGATCGCTTCATGTCTGCAGCCTTTCCGTTAGAGTTAACAGTTTACAGCAAACTGAGCAGTTAGTGTCGTCTGTCTTCAACAGCCACAACAGCAAACACACTTCCTCCTTTCCTCTGCAAACTTTTAGCTCAGCCTAAAGGGTCCTGACAGCCAATCAGAGGGCAGATTAGAAACCAAAGCAACGCCCCCTTCTACCCAGTAACCACAACCCTTTACTAAGAAGGGTTGGAAATTTGATCCATCAGAAGCAGGAGGGAAGCTGGTTGATAGTGGAGGACAAAAGTTGAAAATTATTTTTAAGAGGGAGCAGTTATCTAAATACAAAATATTTATTTATCTAAATTGTTTTGTTGTTTTTAGATCCTTTTTATAGAGGATCTTTGGTTATCTTACACCTACAGGCCTGCAGGTTTTGTTTGATGTCTGTGTGAATTCTCTCCAAAATTAATGCCTTAAAATAACCCCACCCCCATGATAAACATCTGGTTTCAGCATTAATAACTCTTATTTAAAGTTGTTTTTTATTCCCTGAGTTTATCAGCCTCCCACATCATTATGAATAAACTGTGAATCTCTCATAGTCTGAATTAGGGGTGTAAATAATAATCGGCTGACGATCTGATGCATCGACACGACTGCAAGAGTATTGATTCATGTTTTTTTTCTTCCTCCGGTCTATTTTTATACACTTGCTCCTGGATGTAATTCTGACTCCCGTGCTGCGGTGGCGCTAAATCTATTTTGCCCTCCTAACTAGCTTCCTTTAGCCACTACCCTCTTTCCACATGCACACACACAGTCGCGTAAACAGTAGGCAAGACAAGTGTGGCGGAGGAAAAAGA